TGTTACATTTTAACATGTTGCATTTTAACATGATAAAATGTTACATTTTAACATATTGCGATTTAACATGATAAAATGTTACATTTTAAAATGTTACATTTGAACATGTTACATTTTAATATGTTACATTTTAACATGTTGCATTTTAACATGATAAAATGTTACATTTTAACATGTTGCATTATAACATGTTACATTTTAATATGTTACATTTTAACATGTTGCATTTTAACATGATAAAATGTTACATTTTAACATGTTGCATTTTAACATGATAAAATGTTACATTTTAACATGTTTCATTTTAACATGATAAAATGTTACATTTTAACATGTTGCATTTTAACATGATAAAATGTTACATTTTAACATGTTTCATTTTAACATGATAAAATGTTACATTTTAACATGTTTCATTTTAAAATGTTACATTTTAAAATGTTACATTTTAACATGTTACATTTTAATATGTTACATTTTAACATGTTGCATTTTAACATGATAAAATGTTACATTTTAACATGTTTCATTTTAACATGATAAAATGTTACATTAAAAAATGTTACATTTTTACATGTTTCATTTAAACATGATAAAATGTTACATTTTAACATTTTTCATTTTAACATCATAAAATGTTACATTTTAACATGTTACATTTTAATATGTTACATTTTAACATGTTGCATTTTAACATGATAAAATGTTACATTTTAACATGTTGCATTTTAACATGATAAAATGTTACATTTTAACATGTTGCATTTTTACATGATAAAATGTTACATTTTAACATGTTGCATTTTAACATGATAAAATGATACATTTTAACATGTTGCATTTTAACATGATAAAATGTTACATTTTAACATGATAAAATGTTACATTATAACATGTTTCATTTTAACATGATAAAATGTTACATTTTAACATGTTTCATTTAAAAATGTTACATTTTAAAATGTTACATTTTAACATGTTACATTTTTATATGTTACATTTTAACATGTTGCATTTTAACATGATAAAATGTTACACTTTAACATGTTGCATTTTAACATGATAAAATGTTACATTTTAACATGTTGCATTTTAACATGATAAAATGTTACATTTTAACATGTTTCATTTTAACATGAAAAAATGTTACATTTTAACATGTTTCGTTTAAAAATGTTACATTTTAAAATGTTACATTTTAACATGTTACATTTTAATATGTTACATTTTAACATGTTGCATTTTAACATTGTAAAATGTTACATTTTAACATGTTGCATTTTAACATGATAAAATGTTTAATTTTAACATATTGCGATTTAACATGATAAAATGTTACATTTTAAAATGTTACATTTGAACATGTTACATTTTAATATGTTACATTTTAACATGTTTCATTTTAACATGATAAAATGTTACATTTTAACATGTTGCATTTTAACATGTTACATTTTAATATGTTACATTTTAACATGTTGCATTTTAACATGTTACATTTTAATATGATAAAATGTTACATTTTAACATGTTGCATTTTAACATGATAAAATGTTACATTTTAACATGTTTCATTTTAACATGATAAAATGTTACATTTTAACATGTTGCATTTTAACATGATAAAATGTTACATTTTAACATGTTTCATTTTAACATGATAAAATGTTACATTTTAATATGTTTCATTTTAACATGATAAAATGTTACATTTTAACATGTTTCATTTTAACATGATAAAATGTTACATTTTAACATGTTTCATTTTAACATGATAAAATGTTACATTTTAACATGTTTCATTTTAACATGATAAAATGTTACATTTTAACATGTTTCATTTTAACATTATAAAATCTTACATTTTAACATGATTCATTTTAACATGATAAAATCTTACATTTTAACATGTTTCATTTTAACATGATAAAATGTTACATTTTAACTTGTTTCATTTTAACATGATAAAATGTTACATTTTTACATGTTTCATTTAAAAATGTTACATTTTAAAAATGTTACATTTTAACATGTTACATTTTAATATGTTACATTTTAACATGTTGCATTTTAACATGATAAAATGTTACATTTTAACATGTTGCATTTTAACATGATAAAATGTTACATTTTAACATGTTTCATTTTAACATGATAAAATGTTACATTTTAACATGTTTCATTTTAACATGATAAAATGTTACATTTTAACATGTTTCATTTTAACATGATAAAATGTTACATTTTAACATGTTTCATTTTAACATGATAAAATGTTACATTTTAACATGTTTCATTTTAACATGATAAAATGTTACATTTTAACATGTTTCATTTTAACATGATAAAATCTTACATTTTAACATGATTCATTTTAACATGATAAAATGTTACATTTTAACATGTTTCATTTTAACATGATAAAATGTTACATTTTAACTTGTTTCATTTTAACATGATAAAATGTTACATTTTTACATGTTTCATTTAAAAATGTTACATTTTAACATGTTACATTTTAATATGTTACATTTTAACATGTTGCATTTTAACATGATAAAATGTTTCATTTTAACATGTTGCATTTTAACATGATAAAATGTTACATTTTAACATGTTGCATTTTAACATGATAAAATGTTACATTTTAACATGTTGCATTTTAACATGATAAAATGTTACATTTTAACATGTTTCATTTTAACATGATAAAATGTTACATTTAAAAATGTTACATTTTTACATGTTTCATTTAAACATGATAAAATGTTACATTTTAACATTTTTCATTTTAACATCATAAAATGTTACATTTTAACATGCTACATTTTAATATGTTACATTTAAACATGTTGTATTTTAACATGATAAAATGTTACATTTTAACTTGTTGCATTTTAACATGATAAAATGTTACATTTTAACATGTTGCATTTTAACATAATAAAATGTTACATTTTACATGTTTCATTTTAACATGATGAAATGTAACATTTTAACATGTTTCATTTTAAAATGTTACATTTTAATATGTTACATTTTAACATGTTGCATTTTAACATGATAAAATGTTACATTTTAACATGTTTCATTTTAACATGATAAAATGTTACATTTTAACATGTTTCATTTTAACATCATAAAATGTTACATTTTAACATGATAAAATGTTACATTTTAACATGTTGCATTTTAACATGATAAAATGTTACATTTTAACATGTTGCATTTTAACATGATAAAATGTTACATTTTAACATGTAGCATTTTAACATGATAAAATGTTACATTTTAACATGTTTCATTTTAACATGATAAAATGTTACATTTAAAAATGTTACATTTTTACATGTTTCATTTAAACATGATAAAATGTTACATTTTAACATTTTTCATTTTAACATCATAAAATGTTACATTTTAACATGCTACATTTTAATATGTTACATTTAAACATGTTGTATTTTAACATGATAAAATGTTACATTTTAACATGTTGCATTTTAACATGATAAAATGTTACATTTTAACATGTTGCATTTTAACATGATAAAATGTTACATTTTAACATGTTTCATTTTAACATGATAAAATGTTACATTTTAATATGTTTCATTTTAACATGATAAAATGTTACATTTTAACATGTTTCATTTTAACATGATAAAATGTTACATTTTAACATGTTTCATTTTAACATGATAAAATGTTACATTTTAACATGTTTCATTTTAACATGATAAAATGTTACATTTTAACATGATTCATTTTAACATGATAAAATGTTACATTTTAACATGTTTCATTTTAACATGATAAAATGTTACATTTTAACTTGTTTCATTTTAACATGATAAAATGTTACATTTTTACATGTTTCATTTTAACATGATAAAATGTTACATTTTAACATGTTTCATTTTAACATTATAAAATCTTACATTTTAACATGATTCATTTTAACATGATAAAATCTTACATTTTAACATGTTTCATTTTAACATGATAAAATGTTACATTTTAACTTGTTTCATTTTAACATGATAAAATGTTAAATTTTTACATGTTTCATTTAAAAATGTTACATTAAAAAATGTTACATTTTAACATGTTACATTTTAATATGTTACATTTTAACATGTTGCATTTTAACATGATAAAATGTTACATTTTAACATGTTTCATTTTAATATGATAAAACGTTACATTTTAATATGTTTCATTTTAACATGATAAAATGTTACATTTTAACATGTTTCATTTTAACATGATAAAATGTTACATTTTAACATGTTTCATTTTAACATGATAAAATGTTACATTTTAACATGTTTCATTTTAACATGATAAAATGTTACATTTTAACGTTTCATTTAACATGATAAAATGTTACATTTTAACATGTTTCATTTTAACATGTTACATTTTAACATGTTGCATTTTAACATGATAAAATGTTACATTTTAACATGTTGCATTTTAACATGATAAAATGTTACATTTTAACATGTTACAATTTAATATGTTACATTTTAACATGTTGCATTTTAACATGATAAAATGTTACATTTTAACATGTTGCATTTTAACATGATAAAATGTTACATTTTAACATGTTTCATTTTAACATGATAAAATGTTACATTTAAACATGTTTCATTTTAAACATGTTTAAATGTAGCAGTTCAGCAGCTAACATGTTGCAGATGCAACATGTCTTATCTGAGCAGTCAGCGCTCAGATAAGACGCATCGTTCTGTGACAGTGCTCCGATCTTGATAACGATTCTAATATTCGCGTTTAAACGCGTGCCAGTAGTAGTGAGTTTCCTAGACATTTTGCGGGATTTTAATTTCGCTTTTCTATTTTTTATTGATATTTCAGCTATTTTTCACTTTAAGATGTCAAGCTGTGGTTTTTGTGTAAAAACGATAACATCGAAACAGTTAAAGGTGTGCTGCAGTGACTGTAAACGCGAGTTTCACGCCGCTTGCATGAAAATGGCCAAGGCCGACGTCGAGTGCATCACCGCTGATGGCATTCCCTGGAGGTGTCAACCCTGCGGAGAAACACGCCGGAAGAGCATGAGATTTGAAGCTGAGGCTGAAGAGGGTAAGCTCACCTTACATGATCTAATGACAAAAATTACTGAGATAGCTGACAACCAGAAAACTCAAGAGGTAAATTTTAATAAATCATATGAGGCGCTGAATGAAAAATTGGAGGAGAATATCAAAATTAACATGGAACAAAGGACAACGATTGAAAACAGCTTAAGGTTAATTAATGAACTTATTCAGGAAAACAAAAGTTTGAATAAAAAAGTACTAGAATTAGAGCAAAAAGTCGAAGACATGGAACAGTATTCGCGGGCGAACACACTTGAAATCCATGGAATCCCTTATCAGAAAGGTGAAGATGTCATTGGAGTTGTTAAGGAGGTGGGAAAGGCTCTAGATCTAAATATCGCAGATACAATGATCGATGCATGCCATCGTTTGGGAAAGGACTTGGGGCCTAACAATAAACCACCCGGAATTATTGTCAAGTTCGTCAGACGATCTGACAAAGAAGAAATGCTTCGTAAACGGCGGATAAAGAACACACTATCTACGAGACACCTAAACCTTGCGATGGACCAGCCAGTCTACATCAATGAGGCGCTGTCACCTGCCAGACGGAGGCTGTTCGCGGCGGCGAGGCAGGTCAAGCGGGACAAACACTACAAGTACCTGTGGGTGAGGGGAGGCAAGATCTTCCTGCGAAAAGAAGAGTCGGCGGCTGTGATTCACGTTAGGTGTCAGGCTGACTTGGATAAGCTGTAAGTCGAACTAGATTTTTGTTTCTGATAGTAAAATGAAATTTTTTTTATATGTGATAAATAATTGCAACTTCTATAAAATTTGAATTTGTCACGGAAATAATTTTTCCAATTAGTTTTATTCCTGAAAGTTTGTATTTTTATATATGTTATAATATGAAACAAAATAATATACAGCAGATAGAATAAGTAACTAGACGTAACTACGTTTTTTTCATTTAAATATGTTTTCTTTATATTAAAATGTAACAGATGACTGAAATGTTTTCAATATTACATCAAAATATTAGAAGTTTAAGGAGAAATTTTGATTTATTTTTGACTGACCTAACTGTTAATAATTTAATGCCAGATCTGATAATATTAACTGAAATTTGGATTTACTCTGATGAAATAGACCTTTATAAAATTCCAAACTATGATTTGTTTATAAAATGCAATGATGAATATAGATCAGGTGGAGTTGCAGTATATACTAAAAAGTTAATGTTTAATGTAAACTATATTGATTTGGAATGCAGCTCAGCTGATGTAGTATTTTTATCCTTTAACTTCTCAGATATGACTTTTCATTTAATTGCAATATACAGATTATTAAATGAAACAATAGATACTTTTGTAAATGAATTTAAACAAATATTCAATAAGCATAAGGTTTTACAAAAAAGTAAAAATTTATTTTGGGTCGGAGATTTAAATATTAATATAATTGAAGAGAATACAACTTTCTCCATTGACAGTTATATCTCATTAATGGCTGTTAATGGTTTGGAGTGTCTTATAAGGGAGCCGACAAGAGTTACGGATATTTCTGCAACTTGTATTGACCACTGCTATGTGCGGGTATCAAGTAAAAACATGATATCTGTGTATGCGTCGGTTATTCATGCCGGCCACACAGACCATGCCATGTGCCGAGTGGACGTGCAGGTGGTGAATGGTGGGAGGGGGGGAGGTGGACTAGCCGTGTCCTCTCCGTCCACCACGAGATACCGCACGGACTTTGGTCTGCTCAGACAGTGTCTGGGTAGAGAGGACTGGGCTAATGTATACAGTCAAACTGATGTGTCGGCAGCTTTTGACTCATTTCTAAATATTTTTCTAAATTATGAATCTGGATGCAAAGTAGTAGTAAATAGTAACAGAAATAATAAATTAAAGTTTCTAAAACCTTGGATGAGTCAGTACATTTGTTTAAAAATCAAGAGAAGAAATAATATTTTTAGCCAAGTCCGAAAGCATCCAAATAATGAGAGGTTGAGGAACTATTACAACATGTATAGAAATAATTTACAAAAGGAAATAAAGGCCCTGAAAGACAATTACTATAAGCAAAGATTTCAAAATTGTCAGGGTAATTCAAAAGCAACTTGGAGGGTTTTAAATGAGCTAACGGGTCAATCAAAGAGCCAAGAAAATAATTTACAATTAGAAATAGGTAGTATTACTGTTGAGGACCCAAAAGTTGTATCGAATGAATTTAATGATTTTTTTATAGGTTTGGTTGAAAATCTGAAATTAAATAATTCTGTACCTGATTATTTCCTCTCACTGGAGTATAATCAATTTTTTCCTTGCAAAAGTGAAGTTAAATCTTTTTTTATAGATGAAGTAAGACGTGATGAACTTGTGTCTGTAATTAATAGCTTGAAAAACAACAAAAGTCCAGGAATAGATGGTGTTAGTGCAAATTTAATAAAAGAGGTTTCAGAACAGATTTTGGATGTTCTTTTATTTTTAATTAATTTTAGTTTCCAAGGTGGTGTTTTTCCCACCAAACTGAAGACTGCAGTTGTGATACCTATTTTCAAAAGTGGATCAAAATTGCAGTGTAATAATTATCGTCCAATATCTTTGTTGTCATGTTTCTCTAAGATTTTTGAGAAGCTAATGAAGAAAAAGCTTTTACATTTTCTCAGTTATACTAATTTTTTTAGTATTCATCAATTTGGCTTCAGATCAAATCTAAATACAAAACATGCTCTTTTAAATTTTCTACAAAATATTTATGATGGACTGAATAAGGGTGAATGTGTGAGTGGTTTATTTTTAGATATCAAGAAAGCTTTTGATACGGTTGATCATGAAATTTTATTAAATAAATTGTACAAATGTGGGATAAGGGGTATTGCTCAAAATTGGTTCAGAAGCTACTTAATGGATCGGCAACAATGTGTAAAAATTAATTCAGTTATGAGTGAAATGGGAGTAGTGAGAAGTGGTGTTCCCCAAGGTTCAGTCCTTGGGGCAATTTTGTTCATAATTTACATAAATGATTTATGTAATGCAAAATTTTATGGAAGATTAACATCTTTCGCGGACGACACAGCTCTTTGCTACACAGGACACAATTGGAATGCAATAGAATTGGCAATGACCAAAGATCTCAGGGCACTGCAGTGGTGGTTCTCCACCAACCACATGCTGCTCAGTGCTGAAAAAACCAAATTCATAAATTTCAATCTCAGGAAAGAAATTGTTTTTTCAAATGAAATCATTTATCATTCTGCTGATTGTATCAGTAAGCAAAATGTGTGTACTGATAAATGTGAGATTGTCAGACAAACAAACAATATAAAATATCTGGGGATCCTTTTGGATAGTGAAGTTAATTGGAAAGTACACATAACTAATTTGAAAAATAAAATCAATAGTATTTTGAGGTATTTTTATTTTCTTAAGGATATGACCAGTGAACAAGTGTTACGTATTCTGTATTTTTCTTTGGTTCAGAGCAGAATTGAATATGGAATAATCTTTTGGGGGAATGCGTATCACACTCACTTAAATCCAATCATCATTCAGCAAAAACATTTAGTAAGATTAATTTCACGTAAAGGCAAATTTGAATCATCTCTTCCACTATTTATCAATAAAAGAATTCTTCCATTAAAGTATCTTTTTGTTTATAAAGTTTTAAAGATGTTTTACAGTAAAAGTGGAAATATGATTCCTAATGACAATACCTATCGAAATAAACTTAGGAATGCGGAAAAGTTTTTACTACCACGACCAAACAATACATTCTTTACCAAATCATACAGTTTTTTAGCACCGAAAATGTTTAATCTCCTACCTAATAACATAAAGAATGTAAATAGAGGCAACCTTTTTGCCGCTAAATTGAAAAAATGGTTGTTAAGTTTAGAGGAAATTGACTATTTATTTTTGATTATAAAATAGGTTCAATGTAGATAAGCTTATCAATGTAGATACAGAGATAAGGGCGCACTTTGGCAAGCTCTGCCACTCAGGGACTAAGCATTGCATGCTATGGGCTATGAAGGCACTTGTGTCCGAGCCGCCTGGTGGCAGAGTGCGGTGCGCGGTTTGATATTTTCAAACCTTAGTTTTTTTAGTTACATTATTATGTTTTATCATTTATAGTATTACGTTTTTATTATGGCACCTTATTATGTATAGAGATCTCAATTTTTTAATTTACAATTCTGATTATTTTGTCTGATCGCTGTCTTTCATTTATTTTTTTGGTTATTTTATAATGAAGGAACCCCCAAACAGGCTTTGCCTCGGGGGCCCTACATTTTCTCCCAATAAATTGCACAAAAAAGAGAATTAAATTAAAACCATGTAGGTATAATTCTTAAGTTTTTTTATTATATTAATATTGTTGTGAATAAGCCAGTGTTTTTTCTTCTTAGTCAGTCTGACACGTGGGACATTTAGTTTTAATAGAATATTATATCAATTTCTTTTTATTGTGTTGTGCGTTGTAATTTTGATCATTGTAATTCTTGTATTACTGGGAGAAAATAAATATTCTTATTCTTATTCTTATTTTAACATGATAAAATGTTACATTTTAACATGTTTCATTTTAACATGATAAAATGTTACATTTTAACGTTTCATTTAACATGATAAAATGTTTTATTTTAACATGTTTCATTTTAACATGTTACATTTTAACATGTTGCATTTTTACATGATAAAATGTTACATTTTAACATGTTGCATTTTAACATGATAAAATGTTACATTTTAACATGTTTCATTTTAACATGATAAAATGTTACATTTTAACATGTTGCATTTTAACATGATAAAATGTTACATTTTAACATGTTTCATTTTAACATGATAAAATGTTACATTTTAACATGTTTTATTTTAACATGATAAAATGTTACATTTTAACATGTTGCATTTTAACATGATAAAATGTTACATTATAACATGTTTCATTTTAATATGTTACATTTTAACATGTTGCATTTTTTCATGATAAAATGTTACATTTTAACATGTTTCATTTTTACATGATAAAATGTTACATTTTAACATGTTGCATTTTAACATGATAAAATGTTACATTTTAACATGTTGCATTTTAACATGATAAAATGTTACATTTTAACATGTTGCATTTTAACATGATAAAATGTTACATTATAACATGTTTAATTTTAACATGATAAAATGTTACATTTTAACATGTTTCATTTAAAAATGTTACATTTTAAAATGTTACATTTTAAAATGTTACATTTTAACATGTTACATTTTTATATGTTACATTTTAACATGTTGCATTTTAACATGATAAAATGTTACACTTTAACATGTTGCATTTTAACATGATAAAATGTTACATTTTAACATAATTCATTTTAACATGATAAAATGTTACATTTTAATATGTTTCATTTTAACATGATAAAATGTTACATTTTAACATGTTTCATTTTAACATGATAAAATGTTACATTTTAACATGTTTCATTTTAACATGATAAAATGTTACATTTTAACATGTTTCATTTTAACATGATAAAATGTTACATTTTAACTTGTTTCATTTTAACATGATAAAATGTTACATTTTTACATGTTTCATTTTAACATGATAAAATGTTACATTTTAACATGTTTCATTTTAACATTATAAAATCTTACATTTTAACATGATTCATTTTAACATGATAAAATCTTACATTTTAACATGTTTCATTTTAACATGATAAAATGTTACATTTTAACTTG